GTTGTTGTCTTCACTTGAGTGCTGAACCTGTAGCAACAAATTTGATGATGGCCAGCTCGGGCATAATTACTTCACACGGCGGCACTGCCACATGACATGGGTGCAGGACGGGTTCTCAGGAAGACTTATTGGGTGTTAGTAGGGGACATTATATCGGATCACGTGGGATGATACGCGCTTACCCTACTAACCACCAATTATGTATAGATGGTGGGGAATTGGCTCTCAGCCCAGGCGCCGAGGGCGTGCAGGCAGCGGATTGCCACGTCCGTAACTGGGCTACAGCAACGTTTTAGGCTTTTGTGGTCCTCAAAGCCTTACTAGGGCATTTGGGTTTTGAACCTACATACGGCATAGGGGATCCTATGTTCTTTTGGGGGTTATGAATGGGCTTTCCTAAAATGATTCCAAACAGGATTTAGAAGTTTAGAGACCGAGTTTTGTGGATTGGTGGGACTGATTCAGGGTGTACAGAACCCCTTCAACATTCCCTGAGTACGTAGGCGTTGATCATAGCCCCGGTAAGGCATCTTGTTGATAGCGAGACATTCTGCATGAACCTCAGCGGGCTGCATGGCCACGGTTCAGGAAAAACAGCGCTGAGGATTTAGTGGGAATCATGGCTATTTCACCACGAGACAGCTGCGGTAAATTTTGCAACATCTTTCAGCCTCACGCCAGGAAAGTTGGCGAGCATGCCGAACGCCAATGAGTCTGTAGAAGAAACTCTGTCAGCAGTATGTGCGTTTCTTTTGGCTCCTTCAAGGGAACCATTCAGGATTCAGGCAGTCTGTCGGACTTCGGTATGATCATGAATGTTATCTTACTCCTGCCATTATTGCCCTGGCTTTCAGGGCATGTGACACCAGCGGTAGAACAGGTAGAAGCTCCCTGAAGCTGTAGTGACTGCAGTAGTAGGACCCATGTGGTGTCTTCTACTCACTCCATGGGTCAGCTTCGGTCCCCGAAATCGGGATGGGATGGTGCCATGAAAGGCTGAAAGGGTGCACAGTAACAAGCGGTCCACTGCCCAATATACACATACAGATTACCAGCATCTTTAAAAGATAGCAAGTACCATCATGATGCGATGGTGTTAGATATGTGTCATCACTCACCAACAAGTTACCTGTTCCTGAGCCTGGGCCAATTATGACGACATCACTCGACTCCACTCTAAATGGCGGTGTTAAAGAACGCGGTCATGTGTGAACTTCATTATTTGAGGTTCTGGGATCATGAAAAGCCCTAAACCCTCTGAACCCTAGGGTTATATAACCGCAATATACTATAGTAGTTTCCATTTTCTTTTCCATTATCCCTATAACCCCAATAGAACCCCATTATAACCCCAATAGGCTTAAACAGAGTTTCAGCCCCTCAGGAGCTGTACCGAAAGCGTGCTCAAGATGAGGATGCAGTGCCGCCACTGCAACGACAAACTCACTCCATGCCGGACTTGCAAAGCGGCATTCACAACACGGAGGCTCCAGAGCGACTACGCGCAAAGGTTTGCAGGGCATTGTAAAGGGCCATTTAGTGAAATGGGGTCCCCTTTGCATATCCGCACAATCGTCATCCTGATTGCTAGGACCCCCCGGCCACGGGAATGCCTAGTTTTGGGGGGACCTGCATGTGTGGAAGGTGCAACTGCAGAATGAAAGTGGAGCTGACACAAACATGCTGAATTCCGTCTTACTCGTGATCCCTATGGCTGATGCTAAACTTCCAGCATGGCTTTAACTACCTTATTAATGCCTTGCAAAGTATGGCATTAATGCTAAGGTCATGCGGAGGTATAGCGTCAACAGTATGACAGACTTGTTGAAAGGCAAGAGCAGTGGCTGCTGTTCCATGTCTTTCACGCAGGCATCAAGGCAATACAATGATGATGTGGATCGATGGCTCCGGAGACTTCTAGTCGCCCGGGCCCCAGTCTGGTCTGAAGTGTATCTACTCAGATGGCGAATCATTTCCTGAAGTCAGGGCATTAAGCTTAGGGGAAACGGTGTGGTCAAGACATATTCCGAAGAAGCAATGATGAAGCAACTGCTGGAAACCTCCAATGTTCAGAATTATAGTTCCCCTTAAGTAAATAGAGTATGGCTTTGGGTATATTATAACAAAATTGGGGACCCCTTATTTTGGGAAACAACCAAGTATCTCCGAAATTCCAAGAAGCAGCTGTGCGAGCAAGGGATGGCGTTATGTGTCGCACAGATAAGGCTGTTGTTGGTTACAATCCTGCCTGACCCTATAAAATATGCCTACAACTTAGGAATTATGGTAATTTAGTATACTTAGGGTCATGCTGGATCCTTTGTTCATGAACTGGATGAGATGCAAGTCGTCCTTGGTGGCTGGCCAGCCTGGCCATTTAAATTCACGCTTCATAGCAGTATAAGCCATCTCAAAGTGTCAGCGTGATGAGAC